TGTGTGTGTGTGTGTGTGTGTGTGTGTGTGTGTGTGTGTGTGTGTGTTTTGTAAGGCACACTGACAGAAACAAACGCACGTCGGCTTGACTTTCAAGTCTGCCGAGGCGTCACCAGCGGATGAATTGATCCATCCACTTCCAGGGAGCAGCCCTAATAAGTCTAAGGATTTCTTTGCATTTGTTTCAACTGTGAATCAGAAATCCTATATTTACATATTTACCTCACAGGCTATTTTTCCCCAATTAAACCGGTTGTTTAAAGTCAGCTCATTAACCTTCAACTGTCAGTCTCTCAGTTCACTCAGTTCGCTCAACGTGTCTCACTGGATGAGCCGATTGAAAGTTTTGCAGATGTGACCAGTCAGTGAAATTCGTCTTCTTTGGTACCTTTAGAAAAGGATTGCATCAGGGAAAAGCTGCCAGTAATGAAATGAAGTTATCCGTCTCTTAAAAGCCTTGTCTCTGAACATTGGCCTAAGTTAAAGTACCAAAACAGCATGTGTGGTGACGAGGTCTGCCTTGCATAGCAACTGGAAGAGGACAGTCTGAGAAAAATCAGAAAATAAGTAGAATTTGAAAACATTTGCAATCGGTGAAAGTAGCCCTCGGGCTGGCTATTTCCTGACATCTGACAACCTTTCAAGTCTAAACGTTTTACCTTACTTTTAATTCAAAATCAAATGTATATATTTTTTTCCCAGTTCCTTATGAGCATGAACAGCATGAGGGTCTATGAACTATTATCTATTTACGTTTCATTTTTTGACATTACATTTCACCCTCCATCTTTCCTGATTCTGTTCCTCAGCCCTTTATCTCTCTGGTCTTCTGCTTCCCTCCTCCTCCCTTCTTCCCTCCTCACCCCACTCTCCTCCCCCTTTTTGTTCAGGCAGCATGCTGATCAGTATGCAGTAGTTAGTCACTTGCAGCAGAACCAGCAGTGGAGTTGCATAACTGACCTTGTGTTGAAAGATTCTCTCTCTCTCCTGTATGTTTCCTCTTCCCTTGCTCATCCTGCACAATTCCCAAGTCAATGTCATGTTTAGCAATTTTGAAAGACCTCATTTTGGAAACCAGAGGATGCTATTCCTGGCTGTCTGAAAGTCCCTGACAGAGAAGCTTGTGCTGGACTTGAATTCAGTGCCCTGAGTGACCTAATGTTTCTCTCTCAATTCAATCCCTCACTTGCTCTCTGTTTCGTAGAGGACCGCTACTCGCCTCACTGCTTTTTTTTTCTTGTCTTGCTGGTGCCTGAGGGGGGAGTGCAGCCATAATGCCAGCTCGTCATTTTATTCAGATATTTCTATTTTCATCCTCCTATCTCTGTCCTGCTCCTCTCAATTTTGGGCAAATGAAATGCTGTTTGTAAGAAAGTGTAACGAGTGAACGCATACCCTTCACATATATGGGTTAGGGTTAGGCTTCCTTTGCACTTTCAATGGGAAAAAAACTTTGAATTTATTTTATGAAGATCTTAAATAAACCAGACAGTAAAACCCGTCTCCTAAAGGGTTGGATACTCGGGGTCAAACCATTTCCGCCGTAGAGTGATTGTCTTTTATAAACTGTATCTATGCGGTGTGACTGCACATGGAGGAACCCTGTGTCTGCCTTGCTGTAAGATGACATTTATGGACCCTTCCCACCAGAGTACTCGGTGTCTGCTTTGGCTCATTGTTTCATTATTATACTCTGCTGCTCTAAGAACAAGCGGGCTCTTGATAGGACGGTTTCTTTCCTGCGGATGGTGGTCTGCTGCCCCCTGCTGGATGCAGTGTCCATCACAATCTTCTCTCCATCTTTTCTTTTTGCGTCCCTCATTTTGGCCACAGAGGTTTTGTGTGAGTGTTGAGTACTAATAGTTTGTCTCTACGATGTTTGTGTTTCTAGATGTTCATCATTGATCAGGCAGAGGGCAATCATTGTTCATTAAAGGACTTCACCGTTACTGGCTCCACATACGCCCCAGATGGAGAAGTGTGAGTTTTGAGTCTCGTACGCCTGTGCTCTAACAATATGTAAACGATGCATGCATAAGAATATAAAGTCACACTACTCTAAAGGTTATAATCATCTGTGTTGTGTTTAGGTTCCTTGATGCCAAACCAGTGAAGTGTTCCCAGTACGATGCTCTGGTGGAGCTGGCCTCTATCTGTGCTCTCTGTAATGATTCCTCATTGGACTTTAACGAGGTTGGTAGCGAATCGTTTTGCATGTTAACTGGCACATAAACCTTAAGTACCTTATGTGGCTCTGTTGACAGTGGCTTACGTGTTTTGTGTGACAGTTTTCAGATGTCCGTATGACCGTATGCTTTTCACTTCTCTGTTTCCAGACCAAAGGTGTGTATGAGAAGGTGGGTGAGGCCACAGAGACGGCTCTCACGTGCCTGGTGGAGAAGATGAACGTGTTTGATACAGATGTCAAAGGCCTGTCCAAGATTGAGCGAGCCAACGCCTGTAATTCTGTATGTAACCTTCTGTTCTTCAAACCCATTTCCTTGCAATAGAAACAACGTCTTTCAATTGTTTTGTACAAGCAAGATAAAACAAGTCAAATGCAGAAAAACGAACTAACTGCAGTTGTGTTTTATCTAATCTTTAGGTGATCAAGCAGCTGATGAAGAAAGAGTTTACTTTGGAATTTTCAAGAGACAGGAAGTCCATGTCTGTGTACTGCACTGCTAATAAGGCCCGGTCCTCAGTTGGCAAGATGTTCGTTAAGGTACGAAATTGAGAATCACTGTTTGGATTTGAATTGTCCAAGGTGGAGACGTACAAAATATGACGTTACTGGAAGTCTGTCTATGCTGTTAGAATAAACGCTTTTCATTAACTGGATAATATTAAAATGATCGCGTTAGTGTTCGGGCCTTTTTGGATGTTTGTTTTCTAAAATTGTTAAAAAATATAATGTTTTGCTTATTGAAAGTATCTTGTACTTTGTATTCTCATTTCTCCTGTCAATGCCTGCTCCTAGGGGGCCCCTGAGGGAGTGATTGACAGGTGCACACACATCCGTGTCGGCAGTAACAAGGTGCCAATGACTCCCAGCATCAAGGAGAAACTCATGTCTGTGATCAGGGAATACGGGACCGGCAGGGACATGCTGCGCTGTCTCGCTCTCGCCACCCGAGACCAACGCATGAACAAGGACGAGCTGAAGTTGGAGGACTCCACCCGCTTTGTTGAATATGAGGTGAGAGCCGGGACGGATTGATGTGGTCGATAGTTTCACCTCAAGCTTTTGTGTCACTTTTTGGCTGTCAGCTTCTGACGGTTATAAGTGAGAATATGCAAAAATAATCTAATGTTGCCTCTATTTTTTTCTGTCCTCATCCAGACTGACTTGACATTCGTTGGCTGTGTGGGCATGCTGGACCCTCCCAGGGCAGAGGTGGCCGCCTCTATTAGACTGTGCCGCCTCGCAGGCATCCGAGTCATCATGATCACTGGAGACAACAAGGGTACGTGGAGAAAGTCACAAGTAGAATGCTCACACAGAGTGCTGCATACTCACTTGCATTCCAATTCCAGGAAGCCGTAAGAAGTAAATGTGCTCTGATTTGCATCACAGGGACGGCAGTGGCCATCTGCAGACGTATTGGTATTTTCGCAGAGGGCGACGATGTTTCCAGCATGGCGTACACCGGCCGAGAGTTCGACGATCTGTCTCCCGCTGCACAAAGAGACGCCGTGGTCAAGGCCCGCTGCTATGCCCGCGTAGAGCCGTCACATAAATCCAAGATTATTGAGTATCTGCAGTCCCACGATGAGATTACAGCAATGGTGAGACTATTCAAAGCGTGTTCAGGACCTCTGGCATGCTGATAAAACGTTACCATCTACCTTCTGTCCGATGAAATAAAACCAGATGAGATCAATGATCTCCTCGTGGGAAGTTTTATAATTTTATCTAAAATATCTTTTCATAATTTCTTCTTTAATTCACACTCTCCCTTCAGACTGGTGATGGAGTTAACGACGCTCCTGCTCTAAAGAAGGCTGAAATCGGCATCGCCATGGGCTCAGGCACAGCCGTGGCCAAGTCGGCCTCCGAGATGGTGCTGGCTGATGACAACTTCTCCACCATAGTAGCCGCAGTGGAGGAAGGCAGAGCCATTTATAACAACATGAAACAGTTCATCAGATACCTCATCTCTTCCAATGTGGGCGAAGTTGTCTGGTAAGGACGACTCCATTCCCTCTACAACCGTATCCCGTAAAATCCACATACATTATACCTTAACGTCACATCATTTATTTTACTCTTTCTTCATCGTGCTATTGTTTTTGTGTGTAGCATCTTCCTGACCGCAGCTCTAGGCTTCCCAGAAGCCCTCATCCCCGTCCAGCTGCTCTGGGTGAACCTGGTGACCGACGGTTTGCCTGCCACCGCTTTAGGCTTCAACCCGCCAGACCTGGACATCATGACCAAGCCACCACGCAATGCCCGCGAGCCCCTCATCTCCGGATGGCTCTTCTTCAGATACCTAGCCATTGGATGTAAGTGGTTGCAGTATGTTGGACACTAGGACAGCATTTGACTTGCTCAAAGCTGCCGCAATAGAAAAAGGAAACATCCACTTGCAGCCAGAGATCTGTGACATCGTGTGTGTGAATGATGTCTTTTTGGTTTGATCACCAGGTTATGTTGGTGCTGCCACGGTTGGTGCTGCTGCTTGGTGGTTTGTTGCTGCTGAGGATGGTCCAAGGGTCACATTTTACCAGCTGGTATGAATTACAGCCAAATAACCACTATCAAGCTAATTATGTACGCTTCAACACAAACTTAATTTAATCTGCTGTTGGCTTTAATGAGTCGTCTTCTCCCCCCCCCCCCCCACTCTTCTCATAGAGCCACTTCCTCCAGTGCGGCCCGGAGAATCCAGACTTCACGGATCTGGACTGTAAGGTGTTCGAGTCCCCTTACCCGATGACCATGGCCCTGTCTGTGCTGGTCACCATTGAGATGTGCAATGCCTTAAACAGGTTAGTTTGAGCAAGGCATCCTCAACTCTTACTACCTATAAATTAGCAGCCAACATGTTCAGAAACATGTTGGCAAAACAAAAATTGGTGACCAATTACTTTCATTTAAAAAAAGTTCCATTGTTTTCTGCAAACCTCAGTCTTTGCTTCAACATCCTGGCCTTTATCTCCATTTCCACTTTCACACACGCACGCGCAGACCTTATGTTTTATATGGACGAATAAACATGCAATGCAGTATTCATAAGCACTGGCTCTGAAGTCAAAGAGTGTTTTTAACAAACATGTCCATTTGTCTTTTCTTTTGCTCAGTGTGTCAGAGAACCAGTCCCTGCTGAGGATGCCTCCCTGGGAGAACGTGTGGCTGCTGGGAGCCATCTGCCTCTCCATGTCCCTTCACTTCCTCATCCTCTATGTGGAGCCTCTCCCAGTGAGGAACATTTCTTTTTAGTTTGACAAACGGTTCACAATACTGTGAGATGAGCAGTGGCGGCATGCCGCCTCTCAGATATGGAACGTGTGCCATGCATGCGGACTGAACCTTGATCTTTGTCTTTTTCAGATCATCTTCCAGATCACCCCGCTGAATCTGACACAGTGGCTGATGGTGCTCAAGATGTCACTGCCGGTCATTCTACTTGACGAGATTCTAAAGTTTGCCTCCAGGAACTACCAGCATCCCGGTAACGAACTGGAGAAGCCCGACAGCTGCAAAGGCTGCTGCCTGTCTGCATGTGTGGAGGGCATCTCCTGGCCCTTCGTGGCCTTTTCCCTCCCCTTGGTCCTCTGGATCTACAGCACCGACACTAACATGGCCGACATGTTCTGGTCCTGACTGACTTGAGCACAACCTTCGACTTTTCC